GAGAGAGAGAGAGAGATTTGAACTGTGTACCTCTTTTCTTAGAATTCTCTTATCGATTGAGCTGCTACTCTACTTTAATGGATATTTTAATTAACATACATTCATTATTTAAGGATAGAATCTTTCTATTGGCAATATAAAAATTAGATATAAATAGTATGGAATTTCTTTCGTATCTTTAAATAGCGTGCAATTCAGCATCAAATTTTTCCTATGAATTATTATTTTTCTGATCTTTTAGTATACCATCCACTAATCCCTATCCCATTTTTCCCATGAATTGTTAGTATTTTGTGATTGTAAGTGAATGGTTCATATATCCAGGCTCTCCAAGGAAAAGGTGAACGCGTATTCTTAATTGGTTGGGTATTCCTTGAAATTTGAAGATTTGAATCCTAACATGAGTGTAGGGGGCAGGGTATTCTCATGGAGAAAATCGTAAGCTTTGATAGAAAAAGAGGATTTAAAGTGAGTAACAAATTAAAAAGACATCAACTTTGGGGAGTAAAAAATTTTAGGAACCATAAGTATGTTCTCCAGACAGTACCTTTTCTTGAAATGTTGCACTGATTAAAAAGCTGCAAAAGTTTAAAAGCATGCTCGTCGAAATGAGTAGGAAGTTGAACTCAATGACTAAAGGAACTATAAATATTGTGCATTGCTGAAAGTGAAGAAATAACTAATGGCTGTATCAAAGTTTTGGTGAGTCTTTCTGTAAGTGCAAAAACTGGTGGTGATTTTCTTGAATACTATCTCTAGATGACGGTTGAGATTTCAGGCAGTGATTCTATAACTGAAAGCAGATCAGTGCCCTGGGGCACCAATGGGTCTGAGATTTCTAAGATCTGATGATATATATAATATATATACCTCAGAACACAAACATGCATAGACAACAAAAGTTAAATCCTGTTGACAATTGAAAGATGCCAGGGCAAAATTCAACATCTCGAATACATGTTGCTGGATTGATTTAAAATGCCGGTTCAATATAGGGTATTCTTGTGATACTTGACTTTCAAAAATTAAGTTAAACATCTTCTGGTCCATATGGACCTTATGAGACCCTTGTTAGAGTCGCTCAAGGGAGCGTTGAATCACTTGTCTCTAGTGCTTGATGTCACATATTCTTTTTGGTAACGTGGAAATTTGTACCCGCATCATCAGATATGATTTGCCAATATCTCCAATTGGCTTGTTTATAAGGTATACACTGGCATGTCCCGTAGTTGTGGTTCCCTAACTTTGTATAGGACGTGCACATTTGTCAAGAAAAATGTGCAATCTTCTGAGACCATACCAATATGTCGAAGATTGTAATTGTGTGCTTTATCCTAGTTTCCATTATTGTTCGCCACGTTTCTATTTTCCGCTGTTTTTTTTCATTTTATGCTAATTCTTGACATGGACTAACTGTAGGTGCTAGTTTTCAGTGGCAAGTACATTGTATATATCTGTTGGTGTTACGATAAGATGCATTGATATGGATCCCTGTGTGTGACTTGTGTTGTGATGGACATGATGTGGGCTTTGACTGGAAGTGTAAGAATCAACAGCATGTTTGTTAACAGAAAGACTGCCAAGATATGATGCTTCTGGCTTGATGCATTTATTTTTCTTGGTAGATATATATTAGAGTTGACTACTGTTGCATTGTGAGAGTCTAGCAGTGGTACATAGAAATTGTATGTTCATCCCAACCATGTAAAACACCATGGACAATCTTGCAATTGCTCGCTATTTAAAAATAAGCAACACCATATTGGAGATAGTTTGCAATGACTTGCCCTTTTGCAGTGACTTGCTGTTTTTGTTTTCTCTTTTCTCATGAGTATGACTCATCACTTTCTCAAGTGTTTATGATTGCCTAGTTTGTAACTCTATTGAACCAGGCCAGTATGGTCCCACTATGATACTTGAAGCTAAAGAAAATTTTTTCGGGGATTGCCTTTGCCAGTTTGTAGTTTTTATGTTCAATATTTAAGTGTCTAACAAGTCACTTGGGTTCCCAACATAAAAGCATTCGCTTGTCTGCTCAAGATCCATTGATGGAGTTCGCAAGATAGTTATTAAATTCTTAGATTGTGGCCGCATGTTTTATATCTTCATATCTCTGTGTCTGACTCAAGAACTTATAATGTGTTTTACCCATATTCTGTGGGTATCTTATGCCACGATTCCTCCATATTAATGGCCATCACATTATAAGATTGATTCTTTAGCTCTGCAGGACTTTATCAAATAGCATTTATTACAGGCTTCATCAATAGGGTTTATATGACCCCTAAAACTTGGAGAATTTTTGGAAAAGGCCTTTGTATGTCAAGGGTCACCCAGTAGTTTGAAACCCAAAAACATTTGAACTTTATTGGCTGGATGACTTGTAACCTGTAAAGTTTGTTTCTATGGTTTCAGTGGGTTTGATGCCTACTATTTGCATGTATATGAGCCCCATAAAATAAGATTACGCAAGCATGCTGCAACGGAACTATAATTTCTGCATGATGAATTGGACTCCACATAAACTTGACTCTAGCATAGTGGTCCTCTACCTCCTTTAAGCAAAAGACATTAAACTTGAGTTTTTAGCATCTCCATATTTGCATTATACAAACTATGTTTTGATTTGAATATTCCATTTGAAGTTACAATTTGGAGTTTTATCGTCCTCTTGTGTTGTGTCACCATCATTAATTGGGTGTGAGGACATCTTAGGTGTAAACAAAAGCTTTGCAACAGAAGCAACCCACTTGGATCGTTAATCGACTATTCAGGAACAACTCGATAGTAGGGCTTAGATCAGAGGATTGTAGAGATACAGATCAATCTTTAGGTAGCAGATTCAATTGAGCAGGTCTCAAAAAACCTATGGCGTAGCAGATTCAATTGAACAGTAGGTGTCAAAAAACCTATGGCTTTGATACCATGTTAGAAAATGTATTTCTGTATATTTGGGCCTTAGGCCCCCATGGAAATATTTGGGCCTTAGGCCCCCATGGAAGATTATTTCATAATACTGCAGAGAACTCTCTCTTTATTGATTGATAAAGAATATACAAGACCCCGTGTAAATATACGGCTACTAACAATTCTGGATAGATACCAACAGTTATTGATACTTACTAACTAATCTTGTCTAGACACCTAATCTTATCAAGAGATATATATCATACAGATACATACATATCAATATAGATATGTATCCATAATGATATATATCAATACTAACACGAGATATCCATATCCATACTGATATGTATCACCTGAGGTCGTCTGTTCTGCTGTTGATCCAGCTGTTGATCGAGTTTTTCGTTACTCGATCCAGGGTGTTCCTGAGGCCTCTATTCCTGAAGTCTGTTGCTGCTTTTATGTGCTTGTTGTTCAAGCAATCTGAAGATCACTACTCATTTTTGGCAACTTAGTATTGTTCAAACTCCAGTTGCTTTGTGTCAAAGCATCTGGAGTTTGAGGGGGAGTGTTAGAGTATGGATATCTCATGTTGGTATTGATATACATCATTACTGATACATATCAGTATGGATATGGATATCTCGTATTAGTATTGATATACATCATTATGGATACATATCTATATCGATATGTTGGTATCTGTATGATATATACCTTTTGATAAGATTAGTTGTCTAGGGAAGATTAGTTAGTAAGTATCAATAACTGTTGGTGTCTATCAGAATTGCCGTATATTTATACGGGGTCTTGTATATTCTTTATCAATCAATAAAGAGAGAGTTCTCTTAAGTATTATGAAATAATCTTCCATGGGGGCCTAAGGCCCAAATATACAAAAATACAGTTTATTTCTAACATGTTAGAAACTGTATTTCTGTATATTTGGGCCTTAGGCCCCATGGAAGATTATTTTATAATACTGCAGAGAACTATTGCTTGATCAAGAATATACAAGACTCCGTATAAATATATGGTTAAAGATAAATACCAATGGTTATGGTAAGACATCACCTAATCTTATCAAGAGATGTGTATCCATACAGATGCATATACTGATATGTATCAGAATGATACATATCCTATTCTTATCTAGAGATATACTGATATGTATCAGTAATGATGTATATCCATATCCTAACACTCCCCCTCAAACTCAAGATGCTTTGACACAAAGCAGCTGGAGTTTGAACTATAATAAGTTGCCAAAAACGAGCAGTGATCTTCAGATTGCGCGAACAACAAGCACAGAAAAGCGACGGCAGACCTCAAGAACAAACGGCTTCCGGAACACCTTGGATCGAGTAATGAAAAACTCGATCAACAGCAGAACAGACGGCCTCAGGTATCAACCATGCACCCATAGTACTCGATTTTGAGCATAATATTGTAGTCTTTGGTCATGCAACGGTAGAAACTTTTCCCCTCTTGCAACAACTTTATCTAGAGACGGAACAACTTTATCTAGCAATAATAAATGACGGAAGGTTTTGAATGGAAACACCTTGGACAAGACTTGGTCTAGAGAGAGAAACAAGATAAAGTTGTTGGAACAGAAGGTTTTTGAATGGAAGCACCTTGGACAAATTTATTTTGATGGATTTGCTTAGCAAAATTTGTGAAAGGAACCCAACTCATTTTGACGGATTTGCTATGACAATATGTAACAAGATTTTGACGGATTTGCTTTGCAAATTTGTAATGAGATTATGTAGTGCAAAATTGTGACGGGCTTAGAGAATTTGCAGAGTAAAACTTGGTATGAGCTTTTCAGAAGCAAACTCGATGGGATTTTTAGAGCAAACGATGGAAAATTTGGGAAGTAAAGGATGGAAGCAACTCATTCGGATCGTTGATTGGCTGTTCAGAAAACAAGTGAATTCGAAGTTGGAAACGGAAACAGCAGCTTTGCAATGGAGGCAACCCACTCGGATCATTAATCGACTGTTCAGGAACAACCCGATAGTAAGGCTCAGATCAAAGGATTGTAAAGATACAGATCAATCCTTAGGTAGCAGATTCAATCGAGCAGTAGGTCTTAGAAAACTTATGGCGTAGCAGATTCAATCGAACAGTAGGTGTCAGAAAACCTCCTATGGCTTTGCTACCATGTTAGAAAATGTATTTCTGTTTATTTGGGCCCTAGGTCCCATGGAAGATTATTTCAGAATACTGCAGAGAACTATTGCTTAATCAAGAATATACAAGACTCCATATAAATATACAGTTAAAGATAAATACCAATGGTTATGGATATACACCACCTAATCTTATCAAGAGATATGTATCCATACATATGCATATAGTGATATGTATCAATATGATACATATCCTATTCTTATCTAGAGATATACTGATATGTATCACCTAATCTTATCAAGAGATATGTATCCATACATATGCATATACTGATATGTATCAGTATGATACATATCCTATTCTTATCTAGAGATATACTGATAGGTATCAGTAATGATGTATATCCATATGCTAACATTAGGTACCAAACCTTGTATTTATCCTTTCACACCCCTTCATTTTCTGCTTTTGTGGGGCCTACTCTGATTGTGCTTATCTTGCTTATCTGCCAAATTGCTATCTGACTTCTTATGTACAGTATGATTCTCGTTAATCATGTAAAACTCTGGAGCAAGCATCACATCACAACTCAAAGTACAATACTAGCATGTATATTTTGATCCACATTGGCCCTATAGGTTTGTAGAATTATCTCAAGTAATCATCGCCTACCTCACCAATATACTTTCCCTAGTGTCAGTTATGCCATCTGTGTCTCATGAAAATATCTATTAGGCATTTGTCTTAAGCATGAATGATTATTTGAAAGCCTGAATTCTATTGAAAAATCACTTTGGACTTTTCGTAAGTCGACAAACTCTTCATGATAAAAAATAAAAGAGAAGAAAAACTCTCACCATCACTAACCATGTCATTTATGCTTATGCTTGTCACATGTATAACCTCCTAGCTTGTTCTTGGACGAGTGGCCCTTCTGCGATGAAACTATGATGATATGATCCAGGAAAATAGTGAAGGTCCTGGTTCTATCCTTCCTTCCAGTTGACATTGATGTGTGGGTCATCCAATTTCTTATATTCTGAAATACTTGGTACTGTTCTAGACATTTTTTTGATAATGTTGACTGTTATATATATTATATAATGAAAGAGTACAGCAAGGGAGAAGAAGAGAGGCTACCCACATGTGGATAGCAGAGGTACAAAGGGGAGAGAGAAGTGCTATCCACTGGGGATAGCTAAGAGTAGCTAGTGAGTATAGAGGAGGAAGAATGGAAACAGTAGAAGGCGTGATACAAAAGCCTTTAGGATGAATACAGCAGAACTAGAAACCCATTTGATTAGATCTCATGTTCCTTCACTGAGAGCTGCTGCTTTGGCCATGGCATCTGCTACGTGGTTTGCCTCCCTCCACGTGTGTCTCCATATGACGGTCAGTCCCCTGCATAGATGTAAAAAAAATATGATTTAAGACCCAGGGGATTGAGGGGGGGGATGTTTGGCCCAAGAAATAACATTCTTGGAGTCACCCTCGATGATAAAAGGCAGGTTTGAGAAGGGTTGGATCAATCTTAAGTCCTCTAACATTGCAGTAGCTTCTGCCTCTATTGAATCCAAGTGGAGCCATTGTTTTAGACGTTGTTTGCTGTCTGCAAGAACTTGGGAATTTAATCCAAATTTCGATGATTGCAATCTTGTAAACAATTCTAATGTGATACAAGGTGGTTGTTACATGTGTTGTCACTGTAAAATGAATTAAAACTGGCTTTAGAAAGTATTTTCTTAACTTGTTACACTAATTAGCCTGATTTTCTTCTGCTGCAAGGAAGGAATGTCCATATCTATATCTGGAGTTAAGGCTGAGCATTGGCTTGCCATCTCTCATTTAACTTTTGAAATCACTTATTGGTGGTGATCTATAAATCATGTGCGACTCTTCATAAATCTTTCTAGAGATTTCCCTTAAAGTATCATAACTCCTGAGATTTTATTTGTAAACGGACTCACGCGGAATTTGGGAATGCCTGCAATTGATGTTAGGGGTTTCCATTTTGGTCAAATAAATGGTGTTTGCCAACATCAGTTACAGTAAATATGGAAAGACCCCTTGGCCAATTTTCATCTCTATTTTAATCCAGTTCATTTCCTAATACAGCACTCAGCCAGTCGGCCTTGTTATTTTGTATAGTCTTAACTATTCCCAAGAACTCGCTCTAAATTGACAAACACACTCTTTTGCCTGGACCCACACCCACTTCCCCTATAAGTAAAAAGTAGAGATCTGAACTAGTTGATATCATTGGATTGGTTGGTCCTATTGAAAGAATAACACAAATGATGTTATCATTGCCAAGAGTCTCAGTCTAAAAGAGAAGAAGGGAACTCCTTGGACTGAGAAACTTGCTGACTTGAGTCACTGAAGTTGCCTTCTAAATGTGATAAGAAAAGCATTTGTTATGGCTTTGTTTGGGATCTCTTTTTCACATAATGGCTTTTTGATGTATTGGCTTAGGGCTGGTGCATTGTCTTTTATATGTGCGGTACAGTGGGAGTAAAGGGTTCCCTACCCCTTTTCGAATATGATGTACAGAACTGCTTATTTGCCGCAGTTTACATTTTCTTGCAAATGGAATTTGTGCATCCAAATCATGGAGCGTCGACCACCAACGGGAGAATACATGTCATACATGATTATCCAATATGGAAGTGTTTCAAAACGTATAAGCTTCTTGTGTTTGACATTGCAAAATGAGTTGTTAAGGTTCTTGTGCTTTACTTGCACTAAGCTTGGAAATCTAGATGTTACTAGTTTTACTTGCATTTTTATTGACGATAAGCTGCATTCTCTGGTCTGGACCCCGTCCCTCGTTCCCCACCCACCCACTGCCAAAAAAAACCCACACAAGCGATGCTTTGAACTAAGGGCCCACTAAAACATGTATGGCATAAAAGCTGCATGGGTTGGATTGTCATCATGATCAAGATGACATGCAATACGTCATTCTCATACTCATGTGAGAGGCCAAACCGAATTGATCAATAGGAAGAAACATATTTATGCAGCCAATGGATGACTTCTTCCTGTGGAGCTTGATATGTTGATAGGCTTTTTTGGTAATTTCTGGCTCTTCCATTTTCCTGATATGTTTGTATGCTTGAACGACAGAAAATGCTACTAATTTTTTTAGGTATTTTGTAATCTCTATCTCCCTCCGCGTGTCCCCCCCCCCCCAACTACGCACACACATATGCCACCAGGAAATAGCACACTTACCTTGCCTTTAGATTTGAATGCGCTCTCTCTCTCTCTCTCATGGTATGTAAAGCTGTATATTTCAGGTAGCATAGAATCTCCTCCTTGAATAAACCCAAATCAGTAGACACTTGTCAATTTCTACAGGAGCAGAACATTCCACCAGAGAAGATACAATCCTCAGATTCTCTGATCGAGATGAGCCAGGGTCAGTGGGAAGGCTGTGTTCGCTCCGAGATATATACACCAGAAATTATCAGCTTCATCGAGATATCTCAGCCTGACTTCTCTCCTCCTGCTGGTGAATCCCTTAGGCAGGTGGAGTTCAGAATGATCGAATTCCTTAACTCAACAATCTTAAGAAGATCAGAAAAGCTAAAAACAAGAGATTCTTCCTTTCAGAGCGAAATCAAGGAGTACTCCAGTCAAAACACCCTAATTCAAGGCAACCCAAGTCTAGAGCGAGAAAGTCTGGCTGCCCCGCAATGGGATTCACACCACAAGGGGTACCCCATTCAAAACTCTTTAATTCAAGCAAACCCAGTTCAAGAGAGAGAAAGTCCCTCAATTCCACAATGGGATTTGCTTCATAGACATAAACAAGGAATGAGAAAGAAGTCAGGGAAGAGTAGGCTTCAATTCGTGACAATGGGTGATAATGAAACAGACGATGACTTCTGTCCCAGGGATTCTAAGTATAGGCAGCTAAGAGAAGTTGAAAGCAAGAGCTCCTATTGTATAGGGGTCTTCAGCCATGGAGTGGCAATAAAATGCCTTCTCACTGGGTTGCTTGGGTGTAGCCCTGTGATGGCTCAGCGTATTTGTATAGATGATTCTTCAACAACAGTTATACAGCACTCTTTGAAGACAGGTTGGCAGATTAAGCGGGTGAATGATACTGCACATCTGAGGCTTCTTTAGAGAGAGGGATAGATTTTTTTGGGTTGATAAGGTAGAACCCAAGAAAGGAAAATGGAGAAAGGAACGAGTGGTCAGATCACCATTGCTTGGTGTAGTGAGGTTTAAGGCTCAATAATGTCTCTTGTTTAATTGTTTTTCCTTTCATTCTGGAAAGATGGGGAAGAAGGCTGTGGCTTGCTAAATTCAATTCATGTGCTATTGTGGCGTGTTCACTGATTTTAATGTCTAGTCTCTGTAATTTATGTCCTCCATGGATCCAAGAGAGCTGGTGCAAATTCTTCGGTCTTTCATGGATTCTTATTCTATATAGAGCAAGGAGTGTCAAGAATTCTTCATCATTATAGCCTTTTCCCAATTAATTGGGTTCGGCAAAGAATTGTCAAGAATTATTGTTTTATTTATGGTTTCACTGGAATGTAAATCAAGAAAACAGAGGTTTCTTGGCTTCAATGTTCTTCAGGGAAAATTAATTAATGGTTCAAAACTTGAAGTTTGATTTGTGGTTTCAGAGGAATGATCATGGAACTTGCTTCAGATTCTTTTCGGTTGAGTTGCTAATCCAATCAGTCATTTCACTGCTATATATTGCTTTAAATTGTGGCATAAATCATGGTTTCAGAGGAATGATATTGGAACTTGGTCCAGATTCTTTTTTGGTTGAGTTGCTAATCCAATCATTCATTTCATTGCTATGTATTGCTTTGAATTTTGTTGCAAGAAATCAAAACTTATGCAAGAAATCACCACAAGTTTTCTCGTCAAAGCTCTTAGTCTCGTGCGTGCGCCTGCACACATGGCAACAATCACTCTCACACAGCCATAACACACATGGGACACTCTCTCTCACACACTATCTCCTTCGTTTTCATTAAAAACCTGGGGCTTCTCATTAATGGTGTGGTTTATATAAGGTTGCAACCTTAAACAATCAAGTTAAGGTGCACCTCCAAATTTTATGATAAATATAACTTTGGTGTAAAAATTTTTTAGAATGGCTTGAGAACCTATTTTCATCTCTAATTATAAAACCTTAAACTCCAAAAATGCTTCAAATCAAGGTCTATAAATACTTGAAAATCATAAAAATAAATGATTGAGCTAATGTGTGCAAGATACCCTATCTATAGGACTTGATTTTTTTTTTTCCTTTCATATTCATACATCTTGATGTTAAGATGATCAATTAAAAAGTTTTCCAACATCAAAACAAACATTTCTGATGGATTTTTGAGATGCACTTTAATTCTACATTTTAAGATTACAACAATATATAAAAAAAATTTCCGCATCAAATCATTAAACTCTCTCTCTCACACACATATGCAGGTACGGCAACATTCTCTCTCACACACGACGAACTCTTTCACACAGACACGGCAGCAGTCACACCCAAACACACATGAAGACAGCCATACACACTCTCTCACTCATAAAAACCATGCTGCCCTGCCCCTTCCTCTCTTACGCACACGCATTCATCTCAGACACTACTCATAAAAACCATAGTGCCTCTTATTAGTCTCTCGCCCTCTCTCTGTCTAAAAACTAAGCAGCTAGTCATTAAACAATTGCACACACAAAACATGCGCTTTCTTTAAAAGCCAGCCAGCTTCCATCAAAACGACTCACGCATAAAGCACGCTCATTAAACTCTCACACCACATCTAGGGGTGGCGATGGGTCGGGGTCTAGGTTTTGGGCCGAGATATGACCCTGTTAGGGTATGGATACCTTGTTCGTATTGATACACTTGAATATGTATATATGGGTATATATCTGTTGATAAAGTTAGGTGTCAATAGGTATCTCTAGTTAGTAACTATCTTGTATGTATCCAGAATAGGTATCTTAAGATTAATTAATAATTATCAATAATTGTTGTATCTATCTAGAATAGGTATCTTAAGATTAGTTAGTACTTATCAATAATTATAATGGTTGACATCTATCCAAATTAGTAAGTAATAATCAATAATTGTTGCATCCATAATGGGTATCTCATGATTAGTTAGTAATTATCAATAACTGTTGGTATATATCCCAAATTATTGGTATATGTCCAGAATTGTTATTAGCCGTATATTTATACGAGTCTTGTATATTTTTTATCAATAAATATACACAGAGAGTTCTCTATAATATTTTGGACCCATACCAATACCTATAGGGTATCGGGTCTATCCAATCAAAAGTTGGACCCATATCAGTACTTATCGAGTCTCAGGCGTATCCCATCAGGTCGGGTCCATTGCTTCTCTTATTATGAGTTTTTTTTTACCCTTTTTTTACCATTATATACTTATATTATTGTTATCAACAAGGTCACAATCACCCACTATTAAATTTCAAGTCTTCAAATTTATCGATTAATAGCTAAAGATAACTATGAATACCTAGTTTATAAAATCTGTAATACACCCAAACGAATAGGGCTTGAAGTATTTTATCTCCAATAGTTTATGGGTATGGGTCGGGTCTAACCGGACCCGAACCTAAATAGTAATTTGGTCTAGGTTTTGAACTCGGACCCCGTCTCGTCGAATCCAAATGTTGGACTGATATTCAAACCCATGTTAGATATACCCCGTGGGTCTCGGGTGGAGATTGAGTCCATTGCCACCCCTAACCCCAACCCTTTGAAAATCATTCCCTCCCTCTCTCAGCCATCAGTCATGCATTGAACAATGTGTCACAACTCTTTCTCTCTCTTGAAAACCCCACCTAGATTGGGGCTTCCCCCAAAAGATCCACAAACAAGCACATAAGATCTGGATTTGAGGCACATTCGAAAAATAAAAAATAAAAAAAATTTGGATTTGATGTGTATGGATCAATAAGACAAGAGAGAGAGAGACAGCCTCAACATTTCAGGCACAACGTGCGACCATGTGACGTTGGTCGTCCACAACTAGAATAATGACAAACGTAACGGTACGGGCTCGTTAAGTTAACGGGCTATCGCCAGCCAGTCGGCGACGAAAAAACGTCTCCTCGAGCCAACAAAGAGTAAAAAATTCAAAAAGTCTTTTCGCTTTCTGATTTAACGCCCGCTTTTGCCCGTTATTGGTGCCGTTGAAATCATAGATCTACCGCGTCACTATTCTAAGCTTTTTATCGAAAGAGAAGGACATGGTAGAGTTGGCATACGTATGCTTCCGTAGCTGTAGAGGTAAGCCGCACCTTCAAATTTTACGATAGGCATATAATTTTGATGTAAAATATTTTTAGGATTATCTCAAAATTTTTTTTACATCTATTTATAAAATTTTAAATTTTAAAAAATGATTAAAATAAAGTAGATCTATAAACATACGAAATCTTGAAAATAAACAGTGTGGATAATATGTTATAAAATGTACTATTTATGAGATTTACAATCTTTTTATTTTTCATGGTAATGCATCTCGATGTCGAGAATATCAATCAAAAGGTTTTTCAACATTTAAACTACTTTTTTTCGATAGATTTTTTAGGAGCATCCGTAGTTCTACATTATAGGTAGCATCCTTATATAATCTTTTTCCAAAGGAAAAATTATAAATCGCCAAAAGATTTCCTACTCCCTTGGGAGTATCTAGTTCTTTACTCTTTGGGTAAAACAAATGCTATAAACTTTTTGGGAAATGTTTATATAAGGTTGCAACCTTAAAATATAGAATTACACTTGCACCTAAAAAATCTATCGGAAAGGTTGTTTTAATGTTGAAAAACCTTCCATTTGAATATAAAAAAAAAGTTTTTGAGTCTCAGAAATAATGCATCTTGCAACACATTATCTAGACCGTCCATTTTGAAGATTTTCATATGCTTATAGATCTCCTTGATTTTAACAATTTTTGAAGTTTAAAATTTTATAATTAGATATGAAAATAGAATTTAAGATAATACAAAGAATGTTTTATAACGAAATTACATGTTATGATAAATTTTGGAGGTGCGCCTTAATTGGATTGTTTAAGGTTGCAACTTTGTAGAAACCACTCCCATACTTTTTACATATCAAATTTGAACAATTGTTTCATTCGGGCTGGCCCACATTTCTACAATATGCGGTCTAGAGATAAAAATAGGTAGTCCATCTAAAATTATTGTAACTAAGTCCAAATGTTTTTTAAATATAATAATAATTTTTAAATTTTAAATTTTTTATATTCATAATATCCATGTTAAAGATTATATATACTCTAAAAATTAAGATCAAATTATATATAAAAAATATATTTATTGCCAAGACCGCATTTCTAGAATATGCGGGCTGGCTGCATGCTAACTGCATACATCAAATTTTAGCGATGTAATATCTACAACCCGTAGACTAATCCCAATAAAAAGAAGTCTGAAATAAACTCTATATAATGGAAAAAACCAATGCCTCAATATTGAATAGATACCATCAAAATTTTGAAGCTAGATGTAAGTTTTACGAAACTCAAAATTCAATTGTTTTTTGTAAAAAAAACAATCATCTAGTAGTAATTGTTATGTGGTTCCCAAATTTTAAGACTGATTTTTACTAACTAGATGTTTTGGGCGAGGGAGTAGACGCATAGTGTGCTCCAACTCGAGCATAATACATGCGTTTAAATCTGATAAATCGAGTATGTTTTGTATAAGGGTTAGTTTCAAATAAATAAAGTAAAACATGCTTTGTCAAAATATAGTTTTGGTTGACCTGGAAATTTATTTGGGAAGGTATACAATGAGTTTATTTACCTTTGATACAAGATCGTCATAATTACTTATAACCATATGATGTGAAAGTTGATAGCTTGGATGTGTCATAAATTTCGAAATTTTTTTTTTTTTTCTTTTTGAAGTTTGAGCTTAGTCAATGGAATAATTAAAACCACCCAATTTCACATCCAATGGTCAATATTAATGTGACCACCTTGTACTAAAGATAACTAGTAGCATTCTATATTTTTTCAATTTATTTTTAACTCTAATCATAAAATTTAAAGCTCTAAAAATATGAAAACTTGAAATTTAATGGCTAGAGATTTTATCGTTATCGTCATAGTCTTATTCTCAATGATAATTTGCAAGTCAGACATAATAACATATGAGCAAAAGAAGACGTCAGTAACAAATCAGTTTTATTCCAAAAAGGTCAAAAAAAAAAAATTGGGTTGAAAATACGGATCAACAAAAATTGGGTAAGTTAAAATATTGCGAACTTTTCGTATTTGGCTTAAAAAAATAGAATGAAAAGATCAAATATGTAAATATGACATAAGATAAAGTTATGATTTGCAACACATTTAAAGCAACCGAAGAATAATCTTACATCCTTACCGGGTATCACTAGGGTAATATTTAACAAATTCATGTTCAAATTTAATAAATGCAACAACAATACTTACTTTATTATTACGAAACAGAACCTCTGATTGATTTATTGAGAGTATATAATAAAATAACAACAATACTAAACACAATAACTATCTTTGCAAATAACAAGTAATGTAACCCAGAATTATTGTTCGAAAAAAAAAAAACCCCAAAAATTGAAAAGCTAAAATAGCATTGAAAATACATCATGTGGACTTGTTAACTACGGCGTATGTGAGAATCGAAATTGGAGATCTGCTTGTTTTGTGACCAAATTAATGGGTACTTGAAATAAAGCCCCTTTTTCTAGTAAGAATCTTGTGCCTTTTTAACAGAAATAATTTCCACTGTGATTAGTTTCTGTAATTATAACATGGGGTCCGCGGATGATGTTTTCTTCAAGAAATAATTGTACTCCTTAAAATATGTACCAAGCACCACAACATTATCATACTCCCATAATTGTTCTAAAAGTTTTAAATATTGACCAATCTAACCACTGGCTAAAAGTAAAATGATTGTAAACCACTCCCTCCCTCCCTTTCTCTCACACACATCTATACATACAATGTACATCGCTCTCTCTCTCTCTCTAAAACGGTGTTTGATTACTCAAATGCACATGTATGCAGGCATGCATTATTCATTTGCCCCCTCTCTCTCATTCATGCACAATGCATGACCATGCAAGTATATGCTTCTTTTACTCAAATGCATATACAATGCATACACTTTAGTATGTCTCCTTTTTCTCTCTCTACATACCACGTCTCATTTCTCTCTCTCACTTTTGAACAAATGTAAAACTTCGGTCACAACTTTGCAGTTTTCCGATAACACCACCCTATTAACACTTTCAAAAAACTAACTTTTATGTAAAACTTCGGTCACAACTTTGCAGTTTTCCGATAACACCACCCTATTAACACTTTCAAAAAAACTAACTTCTAAAGTATTTGTAAAAATAGATAAGGGCTTGTGTATCGGCAATTGGCCAGGCGGCCTGGTTCTCAAAGAGTAGGATTTGGCTCATAAATTGTCCATTGAATTACACACAAAAAATGCATATGTGGCTTTATGCACACATTCATCTCTCTCTTTTTGCGCATGATATTGCTCTCGCTCTCTTCCAATTGGCCGGGCGGCACGGCCCTAAAAGAGTTGGGCTTGGGCCACGGCTCGAGGTTTGGGTAGGGCCAGTGTCGGCCCGGTTATAACTAGTGTGTTTGTTTTTTTTATCTTTATTTATTTTTTCATTTGTTTTTTGACCAGCCACCCTTTATGCACATCAAAAAAAAAAAAAAAAAATTATGTCTCCACACCATGCATGCATGCCCATGGTTGTGTTCTTAGATGCACAAGAAAGTGTACACATGCAAAGTGATATCGTCCTCTTTTCCCCAGAATTTTCAGGTCTCCAAAAACTTCTCGGGAATTCCAAAAAAAATACAAACTTACCTTTCCCTGCTTTTTAACCTTCACCTGAATAAAAAATCCCAAGAGAAAGCAAAGAAAAAAAAAAAAGTAAAAAGAAGCAAAAAAAGCAGACCTCGACTGTGATCTTGCTTTTCGACCGTAGCCAGTTGTTTGTTTGTCGCTACTCGTCCCCATTCTGACACCTCTCCTATAACAACGAAACACGTGTCCTGTAATGGGGCAATATAGGCGGGCTCTTCTTCACGGGCCTCAAACCAATTCTCTGTCTTTTCACTCTCCTCCGCTTCAGCATTGGCGGAGCCGCTAACTATGGCGGTGGTGATTCATCTCTCTGCTCTCTTCTTCATATCTGTGGCTGTTTTCGCCGCTAAATTTGTGAGCGCCGATATTTCGTCGACCGTCATCCCCACAATCTCGGCTTCTCCCGCTGTGTTTCCCGACCCCGGCGTGGTCGCCGAGTCTCCGCCAGTTTTGGCGCCGGATGTGCAGCCGCTGCTGCCTTCTCCGAGAGACAAGCCCGCCGCAAGTCCGCCAAATTTGGAGGAGGCTTCTGCCCCGGAGCCAAGTCTGGTGGAGGAGTTTGCTCCAGCCCCTGCTCCGACCACGGGGATGAGCGGTGCTTCCTCCGCTACATTAGCTAGTGGCGTTGCTATTTCTGTTGCCATTTTCAATTCCTTGGTGTATATGTAGAAGGTTAATGGCGGGTTTGTTCATTTGCAATTGCGAATCTCTTGTGTCTCTCTTCTTTTTGTTGATTGTATATGTATATATGCTGAGTTAATGGCTAGTTTTTTTAATGCGGAAAAATGCAAATCTCTCTCTCCCCTTTTGGTTACTCCATGATTGTGTGTGTACAGTAATTTTAATGGCTTCTTTGTGAATGCAAAATTATAAATCTCTGTTTCGTTTTGTTGATTGAATATGCAGAAAGCTAATGGCTAGTTTATACGGATACGGCATTCCAAATCTCTCTCGGAACAAATTTTAGAGAGAGAGAGAGAGAGGGGCCTGATTTCCTTCTTACTGTTCTGTATGTGACCGTTTGGGTCCTTTTCATAAAAGTATATGGGTGTTTCGTCATTGTCTTTTGAGAAATGAGAATGGTGGAATATACTTTCCCATTGTGCAAGGTGGCCACAATTCTTTACAACCTTTTGATGTGAAATTTGATTGTTTGGATGCATTACAAAGAGAAAATTTATTTTGAGGTTTGCGCTTAATCAATGAAATACATACAGCCATCCAATGTCACATCTAATAGTTAAGATTAACGTGACTATTTTGTATCAAAGGTAATTGGTTTCATATGGTACTTTTTCAATTCTAAATATATTTTTTTTCAAAACCTTTTGGAGAAAATTCTACTATTATCTTAAATACATGAAATTCACCAATTTTTTACTCTTATTAAAAGACAAATAGAGATATTGATCCATTCATAGAACAAAATGGCAACAAGATTCATATGGCCGACCCCAAGTAATTAGGACGAGGCTCGGATGATGATGATGAGCAGAGAGATAAGTACTCTGTTGAGATCCATTTGAAATTATGTAATATTTTTTAGAGATATTATTTTGAAGTACATTGGAAATAGTATAATTTTTTCTAGGGTTTGTCTATGAAGAGAACATTTATCTTTTGTACATAGAGGTAATAGTCATTATTGTATCTTAAATTGAAAAATGGTAGTTGTAAGAATGTCATTGAATAGACACAAAGTTAAAAAAAAAAAATTCACATTTTATGACTCACCCCAAGCGGTGACCCCATGTACAAAAGATAAAAGGATTCTCATCAAAGCGACCATTTTCTTTTTGTATAAGGAGGTGGCAACTATTTTTATCATTTAATTTCAAAATAGGTAATTGTAAGAGTGTGATTGAATAGACACAAAGTTTCAAAAGAAAATTTTACGACTTCATGACTCACCCCAAGCCATCCACTTTGGTATCTAATTAGTGGGAATAGTTGTAATTGTCTTGTAATAAAGATAAATAGCCTCTTTGTAGACAATGCCAAAGATAAATGGTCTCTTTGTAAACAATCTTTTTTTTCTCTTAAGATAAAAGGAAAAGATGAGGGTTTGTCTCATAGTATTTTATTTTAAATTTTTTTCTAAAAATCATATGAATATGAAATGTGGTCTATACCATCATCTCAATGGGGTGCACCAAATTTTTTTAAAAAAATACTTATAATAAAATAAAATAACCAAAATACTTGTAAAACTCTTAAAAGGTATTTTGGTTATTTTATTTTTTATTAAAAATTTTATTTTTATTTTTATTTTTTACCGGTGTAAGTTTAAGTGAAGAGTGGACGACCAAACTTTGGTGTCAAAATATTTAGTAGAAAAATTAAAAATAAAACAATGTAGATGAGTGACATTGTGATTAGGTCCATCTCAACCGTCCATTCAGATCGGATGGATAGATGGGGAGAAGTATATATATATATATATATATATATATCTTAAGTGGGAAAAATATAGAAAGCTTTCCCATAAGTTGTTTTTGTTTTGCTGGTGGAAAGCCCGTTGTCCAAATAGTGGAAAAAAAAGGCTAAAGATAAAGTTTGGTGGTCTTTTTGGTCCTACAGAAAGTGACTTCGTGGAGGTAGAGTTTGATAGGCTTTTTACCTCATGGAAAGAGGGAACTTGATTGTTTATGGCCATTTTCTGACAGGTCATGTGAGAGATTAGTGGAGGGGCTCACATTTTCTTATCCAGACCCCATCAACGGTGTAGATTTCACTGTCAATAGGGCATTGGCCTTCAAGATAAGCCTCGCCCACTCGAGATTCAAAAACTCAATTCGAGCGAGTAACAATTTGGACTTACTCGAGCTCTTGTTCCAACAAAAAGAAGCCCCAAATTTTTTTTTTTAAAAGTTATAATAAAATAAAAGTAGTAAGAATCAAACTACACTAAAAATAACATTAAAAATATATAAAATATGAATTTATAAAACTTGATTTATACTTGAAATCATGCAGAAAAAAAAAAAAGGAAAATATAAAATTAAGGCCCAGTTTGGATGTAAAAAAAAAAAAAAATTATATTGAAAAAAAATACAATTTTTTTATCCTCAATTGAGAAACATTATCGTTTTTATTTTATTATTTTGGTAGACTGTTTGGATGTCTTTTAAAATATAAGAAGAGGTAGTCTGTTTGGATGTCTCTTAAAATATAAAAAAAAAAATTTATTTGCCAGATATGTCTGTTTGGATGCATTGCAATAAATCCATAAGAAATCCCAAACCCAATTTATACAATTCTATAATTTAATTATATGGATTCTTCTCTCTAGATTTGCAGTTTATTTTTACAAATATAGGAGACAAAGAGAATGAGAAGAACCATAATTTAATTATATTGATTCTTCTCTCTAGATTTGCAGTTTATTTTTACAAATATAGGAGACAGAGAATGAGAAGAACCAGAAAGCAGAAGCAAGGAGAAGTTGAATATTATTATTAGAGAGAGGAGCAGGGAGAAATTGAATTTTATTGTAGTTCAATATTATTATTATTATTAGACAGAGGAATAATGAGAAGTTGAATATTAGTATTAGAGAGAGAGTAATGGATGACAAAAGAGGTTTCCTCTGCAAATATTTTGAGGTTTGGGCAAAAGAGGTTTGCTCTGCAAGTATTTTGAAGTGGTAAAACATCTCGCTTTGTATACTAAAATCACTCCATTAAAGCTAGATAGAGAATAAAGGTTCTTAGAGATATCGAGCTAAAGCCTCAATTAAAAAGGAATCACTATCCAGTAACACGTCGAAATGCTAGAGAAAGCTCTATGAAATTAGAGGCTTGCTCTCCGTCGAAATGCTAAAGAAAGCTATATGAAATTAGAGGCTTTCTAGAGAGAAAGATGGAAAGGATTCTAGGAAGAGATTTATGAAATTAGGGACTTTCTAGAGAGAAAGATGGAAAAAGATGCTAGGGAGAGCTCAATGAAATTAGGGGCTTTTAGAGAGAGAAAGATGGAAAAGAAAAGTTCATTTTTTCGAGAGAAACAAATTTGATGGGATCTGGAAAGGATGTTGGATCAGTAGTTGAGGATGAGAGAAGGAAATACCAGTGAGATGGTGAAGAGTGAAGCGAAAGTTTGGGGGAAACACGGAAAGGCCAAAAGAAAAGCGAAAGTTTGGGGGAAAGAGGGAAAGGCCAAAAGAGAAGCGAAAGTTTGGAAAAAAAACGGAAATGCCAAAAGAGAAGTGAAAGTTTGGGAGAAACATGGGAAGAGGGAACCTAATAAAAATTGCAAGCACGTTTTTTTTTTTTCTGACACATTTGGCTTAGCGTCATAATCTATTTTGTTGAGAAATAAATGCTGATGGGGTTATCCAAACGGTTTCGTGCCTATCTCAAATTTTTTTTTCTTGTTATTGAAAAATATTTCAATTACATCCAAACTTGCCCTAAGTTTATAATAGTACACTCTCATATATCATAATTAAAAACATCAAAATTACATATAAAATATTTATACAATGATTTAACGATTCGAAATATCTTTTATATATTAAATATCCCCGAGTTTTACTCTAGTACGGCTCGACAAGCGTCAGGTTGGGTCCGAATAACTCGACTGAGTCCTTAAACACGGATATCACTATATTTGCCACTACATAGGGACCATATATATATAAGCCAATACGATCATGATAATAACATGGTTGTATGGGTCATCACCGTCCAATAAATAGATTAGATGAATCGATATATTGCCGAACATAAATTCAAAAGTCAAGGTTTTCTAAGAGGAAAAGCCGTTAGAGTTGTGCTTTCCTAGATGTGAGATATCTGTTTCCAATTACATGTTATATGCTACACATAGGGGTCATCTAGACCACTCATACCCGTATTGCTGGTCCCAAATCCTAATTAGGGATGGCAACGGGCTGGGCCACCCCTGGCCAAGCCAAAATGGCCCTGGTCCAAGCTCGGCCCTAGCCTTATTAGGGCCGAGCCGGGTTGGGTCAGGCCAAATAAATTAAAAAAAAACAAACAAAAGAAGATATTAAAGAAAAGAGCAAAAGAGGGCCAGTCGGGCCAAATCAGATGGGCCTTGGCTCCATACTGGACCGACCCTTCCCTGGGGCCGTGGTTGTCAGCCCTAGCCAGTCCCTTGGGCCACATTTCGTAGCCCAAGCCCTAGTTTTTATGGGACGGGCTGTCCAGACCGGGCCACCTAGCCCATTGCTACCCCTGGTCCCAATCAAAAACCACCGGTAGTGTGGGGCTTGCATTTAGAGAAGGATGAGATTCTCACTTTATTGGTTACAATGGTGGATGGATCAGATGCATCGAGTGCATGGTATCACCACCGTCAATTTTTTCAGATCACGAGGGATACTTCCCCTGACCATGGGCCTTGTTATAATTTTGCTTTATAAATGTGGATTGTGAGAATGGTTTCATAAGCTAGGATTGCAATGACTTTTGCCTAAGCCTTGTGATAGGATCAGAACCCTTAATTCCTATAGGTTTTCGGATCAAACGGTTAAGGTTTATTATTTGATTGGAGCCTTAGTGGGGTCATTCGGACTGATCATTTCATAAAAGTTCACAGGGTTTGTTTATATGGTCCAGGCTAATGCCTCGATTGATCTCCTAGGAGCTTAATTAGCTCCCGTGGTGCTTAAAATGAGAATAAACATTGCTCATAAGACTTTGCATAACTTTCAATACATTTTTAAGAGAGGAGTGGCTTGAGAGGATGCCACTTTGAATCATCATCATCGTCGTCATCCGAGCTTTATTCCAAGTCCCAACTATTTGGAGTCGGCCTATGTCTTTTAACCAGTGTTTTAAAACCCTACGACCTCCAATCTTGATCATCAATTTAGATGCAAAATTGGTCGGGACTGAACCAATTCTCGAATGGTGTGGATCCTAGTCCAATCTCACCTAAAACTTCCTTTTTCATTTGATCCAGCCCGATGCCCCCCAAAAACCCCCCTTTTCATTTGATTTTTTCTTTTTTCTTTAAGCTTATCCAATGTTGTCTTTCGCCCACCCTAAATCCCTACCCATAATCCTCTATTTTGATTTTTATCTTATTTCATTTATATTTTCAGTTTTTATGGGATCACCAATCCAAATGATAGGTAAACAATCCGGATCCCTGATCACCAATCCAATCCATCCAAATGATCTGCTGCAATTTTTTAGACTAACAATTCTATGTGATGGACCTACTACATGCTTTCTTGACCTTTGGCAGGAGACGCGGCTAGTGATGCATTTATGCATGTAGACGCCCCCGTGCACATGTGGTAGCGGCAAAAAAGCAAAATGATGACTTAATTGATAATGATTAATGGACCACGGAGACCAACAGGATGAAACTTGTTTGGTCGGATCATTGGCAGCAACTAGATGGAACACGGTCGTACATGTGCCAGAGCTAGCTCACTATACACTTAGTTAAGGCAAATGTGTTGACCCTTTACATCTAAATATGAGTGGAGTTTATGTTTTGGAAAATGGTATATAATAAAACTATTTATCTTTTATACAACGAGGTCGTAAATAGTTACTAACTGTTAGATATGAAATTAGGCAGTTGAAGATGTGTCATTGATTAGGCACAAAGCTCGAAATAAAATTTTTCGAATGTTGTGACACATTTCAATCTATTGGATTTAACATCCAATGGCTAAAACATGATGACGACATCCTTGTATCAAAAGTAAACGGTCTCCGAACATACAATCCCTATATTATACTTGGCACATTGTATGGCAAACTCGTTAGGAAATAAAAGATATACAAACCATCGTAATCACACAATGCCCTCATGGAAAGTTATAGCCTATAAATGGGGAATACATATCCCTACCCATTTTTAGAAATAATTAGCAGTTTTCTAATACATAATGGAAAAGAAAACCTATACACGTAGCTAAGGCTCCAGAGGTGACAGGGAGATTATACCTACTTTTGGTTGTTCAAGCTATAAAAAGGATCCCTAATGCTAAAAGAAGGATGTCAAGCATATTTTTTAATATCATGGTAGAGCACGTTTCCGCATGTACATGGAAGGAAGAGACAAGAGTTAATGAATTGAATGCCTAAATATTATTTATTGGAATTATATACAATGAGATTATTTATTTTTTGTATAAAAAGGTTACAATTACTTACAATCATCTAATGTGAAATCTGATAGCTTGGGTTCGTCACAAAATTTCTTTAGAACATCGAGCTTGGTCAATAGAATTAATTCCTCTACCAATTTTACATCCAATGGTCAATATTAATTGTGACCACTTGTAAAAAAAAAAAAAAATGGAAAGTAAAAAATCTCATTGTATACCTCGTGCCTTGCTAGAGAAAAAGATGGTTTGTACTTTTAGGTGGAGGGTATAAATCGGAAAAAAGGGGATAAATCGAGAAGGCCATTCTTATACACGAGATTAGATCTCAAATTTGCCCTGGAGGATATATCTCTTTCTAAACACATAATGGAAAATGTTAGAAGCTGGTCCTAGGGGGATAAGGGCAGGGCCAGGGCCAAAGCCAAGTTTTGTCTAGCCCGTTGCCAACCCTATCTACAAGGTGGGCCAAGCCTGATCAGGCTGAAGAGGCCCAAGCCTTGGCCCACCCTAGCCGTGTTAGGGCTGGATCAAATATAATCTAAGAAAAATAATAAAATAAGAGAAAAAATAAAGAAAAAAGGGACCGGCTGAGCCAAAGCCGGCCTAGGCCCTAGCCTAGACGTCGAGCCATATCTTATGATCTAGGCCCTTGTTTTTTAGAGTCGGGCTGGGCTAGGCCACCCGGCCTAGTACCACCCTACCTGTAGAGACTAAGGTTGGGCTAGGCCAAGGTTGGCTCGACCTAGGTCCAACCTATTACAACGTCCGTATTGCTGTGGTGGAATAACGATTGATACATGTCACCATTTCGTATGGTTCCTTTGCTTTCAATTTTAAGACTTAAAATCATCAAATCAGATTAGGAATCGGTGGTGATGTCCCAATCAGGGTTTTCAAACCTAGATCAGTGGGGTGAGTCGCTCAACCACAGATCCTCGTCAAATCACTGGATCAGTAATTTGAATTGGATCTGAATAAGTTCTAATCATCAATCTAGGAATTATTAAAAAACAAATAAAATAAAATATAAATTAAAATAGGGGTTTATGGGATGGAGATTTAGAAGATATCAAAGAAAATATTAGTATTTTTTTTAAAAAAAAGAAAAAAAATATACAACAAGGTTTTAAGGGAAACTAGGTTAGGACCCATACCATCCTAGAGTCAGTTTGATCCCAACTGATTTCCATCTGAATTGATATTGCCGATCGAAACTAGCCAGTTTTTAAAATATTGGTCCTAATACTTCACTTAGTAGGAATCGAAAGCCTTTGTATGTAAAAATCTTAAGACCTTCGTTAATCCAACAAAAGTATATAAAGAAATCATTAACTTTCAGAACAAGGAGATCGCAATCATTATTTAGTAGAAAAATATCGAAACGGGGGTTGAAATCCCTTACAATATTATAAAAAGGGTTAAAATATTACAACTTTTATTTAAAGGTCCGCTTTAAAATTTATATGTCAATCAGATACTTTGTCAAATTCTACTTTAAAAAAATTCTAAATCACCTTTTTTCAGTATTTGGAACATGAAACAATCATGGGTATTTATGTAATTTGGCCTCTAAAAGGCCTCAACCAAATACCAAATATACCTCTTGGTGTTTTGCATTACAAATAAAGAAATACATTGTTTAAAAGATACCTTATTTAGATGTGTTTTTGTTTAATTTTACTTTAAATATGTTTCTATATATTTTTAAATTTTTATTTTATTTTTCAATACTTTTTGCCTGACCGGTTCTTGCCCGACCCAGGCTCGGTCACCCAAACACGGTTACCGGTTAGAACACTCGATTTTTTCGAACAATTTGAGTGATCAGCAGGTATTTTAAAAAATAAAAAAATATATATAAAATTTTAAAATAAAGAATTTGGTTTGTAATATATTTTTTAATATTCTATACATTATAGTAAATATTAGAAATTGCTTTGGTCATTAATACTCACTTTTACATTGTTCCATATTTTTCGAAAATTTTTAAACATACCACTAAGCACAAATCAATTATTTAAAATCTATTTATTTAAATAATTTTCAATTTCATTTGTATTTTATTTTTAATATTTCTTTATATACTTTTCATATTTGAGTATATATTTTTTTATACAATTTTTATATTTTAGTAGATTTTTTTGTATCTTTTAATTTTTTTTTTTACAATTTTGTAACCGAAACACCATATGTCCGGTTGAAACGCCTGCAGATTAAACCTCGCCACCATTTCCGATTAATCCATCCGGTTCGATTTTGCAAACACTAGGCACCTCACCCACGACACCCTCTCTCTTCGCCCGCCCTACAGGTGAGCGATTCAAAAAGTTTGGTCTCGTGCCCTTTCTCTTCTCCCCCATTTTACATCAGAGTCTGCACTGTTCGATTCTCTCTCGCTGAGCTAGTCTAATCTCACTAACACAACCAAAGTCTCACCCTCCCATTGCCCCTTTCTACGACTGAAAATTCAACTCTCCATCTCTTTGTCAATATCTTCCAAACCCTATTTTTAGTTTTCTAAATCAACCTCTCTTCTCTCCATCTCTTTCCAATCTAGTCCAAGCCCTGTCTATTCACCATTTCTCTCTCTGCAAAATTTCCAAATTTATCAATTCTTCATCTTTGATGCCAACATAATGGGCCTTCTCACCTTAACCATTGACAAAACTCTGCCCTCAATGGCTCAACCACAGTTCAGAAGAGGTATAAACCGTACACTTTTCAGTCGTTCTTGATTATATGTAATCACCTCTCTCTCTTTTTTTGCCTTTTTCTTTTGTTCCCTACAAAAAAAATCTGAGTATAGTTATCTGATGAAGAATTGTTAATTCTATAACATTTTCTAGAAGTGTATTAATTTGGGCATGTCTCATTCCATGTTGGGTGCTTTTTCCCGGAATTTCATTCTGTAATTGCCTGGGGGTAATGAATATTAGGTGTTTCTTTTAACCTTATTGGGGTGAATTCAGGTTATAGCTAACTTATATTTTGGGTGAGTTTAACTTGAGCTTTCAGTTTCCCGTTTAATTTATGATTATTAAAGCTTTCAAGTATGTCTTTCTATCTATCTGTGTTTTGCTCTTCCATTCTATCCTTTTGTGGTTGCTATTTCATTCATATGCTTCAAAACATTAAAATATTAATATCACACTTCTAATTCTCTGAAAACAAATAAGTGGACCAGTTAGTATTGTGTTTCTGCTGTCGGTTTTATCATTATGAAAGCAAAACAATGGAAAATTGGAGTAGATTGCTATTCTAACTCTGTAGGAAGGAAGATAATCTTTGTTATTTCATTATATGCAGAGTGTATTCCTCTAATTCAGAATATACTGTGTTCATTTGTTTTCCAAAACAATCAAAGCATTTGAACAGCAATGAATATGTTGGAGTTGTTTTTCTATAATTACGTTAGATGCTTTACAGTTTGTTTTTTCAAGGATAATGTCTTGGATATAATTTTAATTATGGGCAATTTTTGTTGAGATGAGTTCAGCTGAAATCTGTCATTTTCATTTGAAAATCTAGTCAAAATCCTCGCCAATTCTTACAAATGTTAGCATTATTTTCACTTGAAGCATGCCATTGGCTACACACAATGCTTAATAGTAAGAGGGTTCATAAGTGAGTCTAGACCATTTTGCTCCCCGTCCCTCTACGTCCAAAGCCAACCTGCTAATTTCACTCAAACAGTCTTCTTCATTTTCTCCATGTTCCTTTTGATTCCTTGTAATTTAGAAAGTCTGTTTCCTTCACTCTCCGTTGTTTTTCCAGTATTTCTTAATGGGTTTTTTTTTTAGTTCTCCCTTAATCTGCTCCTTGTTATTCACCATTTTCCTTCTGAGATAGCATGGACTTGGTGGCACCTAGCAAACCGGAAGAGAAAGAACGACCGTTAATAGATATAGCCCATTTTTTGGAGCATTTTTTACTAGAGTTTCGTGTTGCTGATGGGAATGAATTTTGATGCTGTAGCATTGATATGGATTTTTTGATCAATGGGGGATCTCCATTGAAAAATTTAAGTGTTTAATATGGTCTCTTTCTTTTCAAAATTCGCTTTTGTGAATTTTTGCCAATGAAAATGCAAGATTATGGTTTTGTGGACGAATAAGTTGTTCTTCGTGGGGTTTCAATAAAAATCGAGGTTTCATATTGCTATGGCTATGAGTTTTGAAATTTATGAGTTTTAAGAGTTTCTCTTATATGGATAGGAACATACTGGTTTTCCCTTTTTGCAATCCATTTTTACCAATTTTCTTTAATTTTTTTACATTGTCATCTTCAGGCTTCTTGGGAAGAAGTTTTAAGTGATTTGACTGTTGTTAGGCCTCTTAGAGGGGAAAGCGGAGCGTTATTTGACTACAGCAAAAAGGCTAAGCAATTATCTTATTTGATTAGTTTCTATTAATTTAATTTTTTATCAATTATTGTTATCTATGTATTTATTTTTCATTAATGAATTGGTAGTTATTGTAGATGGGTTCGTTTATCATTTATTTCCCATTTCCTCTTAAAGCATTGGAAATTGGGCTAACTATTAGTATATATCAGTGTTATCAGGATCGTATCGGATTACCGGTGGCCATTATGGTGGAATCGGGGGTTCTGGTCTATGCACCAAACTGAATGGATCTGTGGAATATCTAGCTCGATAGTTTGGGCTGGCAGGTCAACCAATGTAGACTGGACCAGCCGATTCCAATGCTGCAGGGTTTCCATGCGGAACTGATTTTTTTAATGTTTTCTGGCTATTTGGCGTGATTTTGGTTGGATTCTTTTGTCCTTTTGTATACGTTTAGCGGCTTTGTGGTCCAAAACACCTTCTCCAAGGGATTTGAGGGTCTAAAACCTTGACTTTAGAGAGGACTTTTTATGAATCTACATTACCTCTCTCTGTACCCCAAAATTTAGCAAATAGGATTTTCAGTGCACAATGGGTTTATGAAGGGGTCTTCTTTTAGGTATTTGACCTTCTTATTATGCTTTTATTCCATTGTATTTGTGTTTTTTGATTTTTAATTAATTTTAAAATTTGACCACAGTTTTACCGGTGAATGAACCCAGTTTGACTGGTCCGGCTAAACCTGTGCTCTGTTGGTACAGTCCTGAAAGCTTGGTGTATATCTCCTCCTGAACTGAGTTCAATTGTACTGTTGCAGGCTATTGGCTTCTCTGATAGCTTAGTCAATGTGGAGGCCCCTTTACTCAGGTGAATCTCTGAGGCTTGAGACAATAGTTGATTTGTAGTTTGAGACCTTTGTATGTTGTCCGATAACTAGGATCATAACTTGAGTTGAGTCCATCATGCCTGTATGAAATAAACCCAACTGCATTTAATTTTATTAGATGCTTCTTTCAGGAGTTCATGATATAAATGGATTGGCTTTACCATGATGGATGTCATTATGCATTAAAACAGAATGTAGAAGTAAATAATCTGATAAATTAGAACCATAAAATTATTTCACCCTTAGTTTTCTTAGGTTGCTTTGGGGTTTCATTGGTTAATACTTTTTAGCTGTAAAAAACAAACAGGGGAACTATTTGCGAACAAAGGATTGTGAATAACTGGAAAACCATCATCTAATAAGAAAGCTTGAACATAGTGTAAAGCGGGGCAAGGACAACTAGGTTGGGTAGGGAGGGTGGGGGGTGGTGCTGACATGATTGTTGTAATCGAAGGAATAATAGAAAATTAGAGAAGAAATAGAGTGAGCAACGAAAGAAAAAACACCTGAAAATCTAAGTTGCCATAAAAAATTTATGTTATTCTCTCCTTAAGAATCTTCTTATATTTTACCTGAATCTTAATTTAAAAAGAATAAGTTATTATGGAGAAGAAATAGGACTTGGCAAAAAGAAAAAAAAAAGAAGACAAAGACAATGAAAATTTTAGAAAATGCTTTGACGTGTCTCTGCCTTCCGAGTTATTTTCAGACTCTAGACATGATTTATACCAGGTTATTTAATTTCAGTTTAATAAATTTATTCATTCAAGGCTTGTGTAATCTTACAAAATGAGCAAGAAAAGTTGTTTTTTGTTTGTCGAAGATCATCTGAATATTTGGTAATTGAACAAAAAAAAA